ACAGAACCAGGATCGAATTCAAGCTGAACGTGTCAAAATTCTCGATCCTACTGGAAAATTATTCCAAGCCAGCCTCATTCCACTTCTGCTAAGTTGCATCATTGTACATTTTCTTCTTTGGACTCTTAAGTGCTGGTAAACACACTGCTCAAGACTTTTCAATAGAATATAGATAATAACTCCGTTCTCACAGGTCCTGTCCCAAGCCCGTTTAAGAAACCAGGAAAGTTGAAGACCGCGGTGAAGTCTCCGTGAAAGTTCGCCATCTGATACTAATTGTATTGACGCCATAGCAAATTTTACCGGTAATTACTCGGGTCACTAAGGGCCCGCATGTTGTTGCAGTACTGAGGCAGACTGGGAAAAATAGGCGATTAGAACCTGCTCGTCGCCTTTTGCCAACTGGGGCGTAGCAGCACAACAGCGGCGGAAAAACCGACGGAACGACGACGAAGATACTGGTCAGCAACAGAGTCGATACCTGTTCTGAACGGAGGAGGTAGACAGCACGATGCCATTATAGCACTTCAGAAAAGGCTCCATACGATGGAGCTTATAGTCAGAAATTGGAATATCTGCACATTCCGAGGGAAAGAACAAGAGTTAGCTCATGAGACGATAAAGAAATAACCCGACATTGTTGCACTCTCGTCAACGAAGCGCCAAGACTCTGGAATCCTGAACCTTTGCGGCTGGAAGCTACTCTGCTCAGATATCGATATTATCACATGCGCTATGGCCCGTGTTACTGATCTGGTGAAACCCAGCCTTGCAGATACAATCAATGATTGGAAGCCTGAGATCGGAATATTGGTTATCCTCTGACTAATACTACAAGCTATAGCTTTGACCTTGGTGTAGGTTAATCCTCAAAATATAGAGGGAGAATATGAGATCTTCCATGGAAGTGCCGAATACAGAGTCCCTCATTCTCATGGGCGGTTTTAATGCGCATGTCGGAGTAGACGCTAAAAAGTAGAGCGGAGTGACTGAAAAAAACGGACCTAGCGACCTCAACAGTAACAGCATGAAGTTGTTGCGCTTTTGCGCAAACAACTGACTGCCCGCTGCTAACATCTACTTCGACCATCGAAGGGTGCATTGGTATACCTGGCACCAGGAAGCGTCTGCAAAGGAGTCCATGATCGGTTTGATAATCTTATCCTCTGACTTAAGATGCTCAGTAATAAATGTTCGTGTTAAGAGAGGCGCAGAGGATTCAACCGATCACCACCTTGTTGTTTCAACGCTGCGTCTTAACAAATAGAGTACCATGCGAAGATCTGATGTCAAAAGCAAGCAGAAAATCAACTGGTAAAGATTTTCTTCGGCGGACACAAGAGCGAAATTTGCAAACAACACCGCAAGACGACTTGAACAGATCCCGGTGAGGTTAAACCGGAGTGGCAGCTCTTTAAGAGCGGCATACTCGAGGCTGCCGCCAAATGCAGCGGATTTAAACGGGTTCTCCTACCGCCTGGATGTCAGAACAGATCTTCCTGGTGAACATGAAAGGTACAGCTAACAGGTAAAGAGAATCAGACAGCGCTCAAAGAATGGCTTAGAAACAATGAGCCCTCTGTTCGCATACGATATGTCGAGGCACGCAAGGCAGCAGCGAAAGCCAAAGCTGATTCCTGGCAGAATTTCGATAAGGTGTTGCAGTCGAATTTCCACACGGCAAACAAGGTATTATCACAGATCATCCTCGGACCTCAGCTAAAAGGAAGGGCAGTCTAAGTGTCACAGGGCTGAACACCTTTCTACCCAGGATGATGACATTCTTCGCTGATGGAGAGACTACTTTGAGCAACGGCAGGAAGATTCCTCTGTAGTGAAGAAAGTAACAGATATTACTATCTCTGTAGATGAAATTACTCAGTTTATGAAAACCTTGAAAAATGAAAAGGCTGCTGGAATTTATGAAATCCGCTCTGAAATGCTCAACGCCTTAGGCAAAAAAGTCATGCTGGCTTGTACATGTCTGTCAAACAGCGATGACTGCGGGAAAGACACCAACGG